CAGCGCCCGGGCGATGCACTCCCCGCAGAACGAGTGGCGGCAGCGCTCCAGCGTGCGCGGGCCCCGCATCTCGCCCAGGCAGATCGGGCACTGCCGCTCCGGTTCCTCGTCCCCCGGAGCTCCCGCCGCGCCCGCCGGCTGCTGCTGCTGCTGCTGCTGCTGCTGCTGCTGCTCCGGCCGCGCCCCCAGCACCTCCCCCGGGTGCCGCTGGCCGCGCTTCTTGAGCTCCTTCTCGGTCTCCTTGAGCAGCGCTTTGAGCGCTTTGCGGGCCGGGCAGAGCCCCCCGCCGCCGGGGGGACCCGGGGGTGCGGCGCAGAGCTGCAGCACGTACAGCTCGGGGGTCTCGCCGTCCACCAGGATCCGCACCCGCGCCTCCTGCGCCAGCAGCGCCAGCCGCGCCGCGCGCTCCCGCGTCACGAACTCCCACACGCGCTTGGGAACCGTCACCCGGCTCTTGGCGGGGCCCCCGCACCCCGACATCCTCGACAGCACGAATGACACTGCGGGGACAGCAGGGAAGGGCGGCGGGGTGGGCATGGTGGAGACGCGGGCAACAGGAGAGTGGGTATGGGGGTCAAATATACATGGGCACCCCAAAACACCCACGGACCCCAAACACCCGGAGATGGGGCACGGACACCAAACACACATGGGCACCCCAGAACACACATGGGCATCCCAAAACACCCACGGACCCCAAACACCCATGGGCACCCCAAAACACCCAGAGACCAGGCAGGGACCCCCCCCCATCCTCAGAGACTGGACATGGGCACCCCATCGAGACTGGGCACACACCTCAAAACACCCACGGGCACCCCAAAACATCAGGGGCTGGGCCTGATGGAGCCGCAGACACCCGGAGACTGGGCACAGGCACCAAACACACATGGGCACCCCAGAACACCCATGGGCATCCCAAAACACCCACGGACCCCAAACACCCATGGGCACCCCAAAACACCCAGAGACCGGGCACAGGCGCCAAACACACATGGGCGCCCCAAAACACCCATGGGCACCCCAAAACACCCGGAGACCGGGCACAGGCGCCAAACACACATGGGCGCCCCAAAACACCCATGGGCATCCCAAAACACCCAAGGGCACCCCAAAACACCCAGAGACCCCAAACACACAAGGGCATCCCAAAACACCCATGGGCATCCCAAAACACCCAGAGACCCCAAACACACAAGGGCATCCCAAAACACCCGGAGATCGGGCACAGGCACCAAACACACATGGGCACCCCAAAACACCCATGGGCATCCCAAAACACCCACGGACCCCAAACACCCAGAGACCGGGCACCCCAAAACACCCATGGACATCCCAAAGCACCCACGGACTCCAAACACCCGGAGATCGGGCACGGGCACCCCACGGGGATTTGGCACAGCCCCCAAACACCCATGGACATCCCAAAACACCCACAGACCCCAAACACACAAGGGCATCCCAAAACCCCCAGAGACCGGGCACAGGCACCAAACACACATGGGCACCCCAAAACACACATGGGCATCCCAAAACACCCATGGGCATCCCAAAACACCCACAGACCCCAAACACCCAGAGATGGGGCATGGACACCAAACACACATGGGCACCCCAGAACACACATGGGCATCCCAAAACACCCACGGACCCCAAACACCCGTGGGCACCCCAAAACACCCATGGGCACCCCAAAACACCCGGAGACCGGGCACAGGCGCCAAACACACATGGGCGCCCCAAAACACCCAGAGACGGGGCACGGACCTCAAACACCCATGGGCATCCCAAAACATTCACAGACCCAAAACACCTATGGGCATCCCAAAACACCCACGGACCCCAAACACCCGGAGACCAGGCACGGGCACCAAACACACATGGACACCCCAGACCCCCATGGGCACCCCAAAACACCCAGAGACCGGGCACGGACCCCAAACACCCATGGGCACCCCAAATCAGGGGCTGGGCCTGATGGAGCCGCGGGCACCTGGAGACCGGGCATGGGCACCCCACAGGGATTGGGCAGGGACCCCAAAACATCACAGCATGGGCACCTCAAAGCCCCAGAGACTGGGCACAGGCACCCCACAACACCTGGAGATTGGGCATGGATCCCAAAACACCCATGGGCACCCCAAACTCCCAGACCGGGCACGGGCACCCCACAATGCCCGGAGATTGGGTATGGACCCCACACACCCATGGACACCCCAAACTGTCAGGGGCTGGGGATGGACCCCCCAAAACCCTCTGAGCCTGGACCTCACTGTCACTGTCACCCTGTGACAC